ATTGATGAGAACTAACAAACAATGACGACTCGAACCCAGGCCCCTGTCAACAAACAATAATGCCAAGTAAAGTATAGGGGATGTTGTTATAAGTAATTGTAATGTAAATGTGGAGAAATAAAGATGAACGAAATGATAACTTGCCTCTGGCAGGATCTGAACCTGCGACCTCCGAATAATGCGTCCGATGCTCTACAACCGAGCTACGGTGGCGGTCATCCATGGGGGCCACTGGAAATGTACACCTAACTGGCTGAGCTTAAACCCCAGAATGCGATTGCGGATATGTCAACTAGAACTGGCAGTTGCGAAGTTACTTGTGGCTGCGATGAGTAATGTAATGAATTACTTTTGTGGGCTAGTAATTTAATAATGTTGTGAAGAACTTCAGGAACATTACTCATTCCTTTCTTAATTACGTTTTACTATACTACATCCTCCCCGCTTCGATTCTGGCAAAAAGAAAATTGGCCCGGAAAGGAGATAACAACGGCTAAGTTAATCTTAGTGCCATACTTCAAGCGGTGGCACGAGGCAGGCCGACAGAAAAGCCAGCATCCAAACTGGGAGCTTTTAATAACGCTGCTTCAACAATTGTTCAAGGTGATTGTAGAGTAAAATCCTTACTTTGATTGATATGTGGGGTTTAACGTCCCGAAACCACCATATGATTATGAGAGACGCCGTAGTGGAGGGCTCCGGAAATTTCGACCACCTGGGGTTCTTTAATTAACGTGCACCCAAATCGGAGCACACGGGCCTACAACAATTTCGCCTCGATCGCAAAATGCAGCCGCCGCAGGCGAGATTCGATCCCGCGACCTGCGGGTCAGCAGCCGAGTACCTTAGCCACTAGACCACCGCGGCGGGGCGTAAAATCCTTACTTTTCAATCGTGATAGTAATGTCATCCAGCAACTTTCGGCTGGCTGTAGATTGTAATGAGATTAATTACAAGTCGATGAATTATAGAAATGTGATTAGTAATGTAGTCTAACTACATTTTATCAATAATTGCTTGATCTGTGCTGCCAACCAAGGTATATGTGTCAACATTTGGATTGCACGCATTGCGGCGCACAAATATGCTGACTTGAATCAACCTTAACGAAATTACACATACGACAACTCAGTTCCAATCAACTGTTGGGTCCGTGTCCAGAAGTATGAAAAAATTCTCGTGAGCCCAGTGGCATCGCAGGGCGTTTTTAAACAAATTAATCTTGCTCTTCAGCGCAACGCCACTGAACACGCGCGGTTTCTCAGCTTGTTCTAAGCTTTAAAAAACAAGCAAAACACTTCACGGACGCTTGAGCGTCGCCTACGAGAGTAGAACACGATATCGTAATCGGGCCTGGTGCGGATCGCTTTCTCATTCGCTAGCCATGTTTCCCTTATCAGTGGACTTTTCAACCGTGTCTTGAGAAGATTTACGTCCTTTAAAACATCCAACAATGTGCACCTGCTGCAAGTGTACAGTTGCGAAGTAGCACTACGCCATGATTAATCTCATTTCGAATTAGTCAGATACTCGCTTCGTGTTCGTAAGGCGTTACACACGTTAATCTACTGCAAACTTTGTTGGAGCTGTTACTGATGATAAGGATTAGTCAGGCTTGTGAGCCTTGTTGCGAGTGGAATTTTATAGAGAGACAGAGATAGAAAGAGAAAGAGAGAGAGAATTTGGCGCAGGTCGGTTTGAGCTACAGTTTGCTCTGGCCTGCTACTCTACACTCAGGTAGGGTGACTGAGGAGCGAAAGAGGGAGGAATGACGATAGTAAGGTAGAGAAAAGAGAACATAGTCTTGTTAGGCTGGCGTAACACCACAGACGTGCATCATGTCCAGTGGCGTCTAATAATGCGACGACGGCTCATATCACCACATTTGTGCTGCTGTCGTCAGGACAAGAAACCTAAAACAATTTCACCGGTCAACTGGTCGACTAATGCATCGTCCAATCGAAGGTATCGGTTGCTGGCGTTCACTTGCATACGCTGGACAGTCGCAAAATATATGTTCGAGCGTTTCTGGCAACTGAAAGTGTCCACAATCGGGACCTGTGTCATTACAGCCAATCAAGTGATTGATTGATTTGTGGGGTTTAACGTCCCAAAACCACCATATGATTATGAGAGACGCCGTAGTGGAGGGCTCCGGAAATTTCGACCAAGCCAATCAAGTGGGTGCAACGTCTCGTGTAAGCCACAATCATGTGAATGCAGCGGATAATGCATGAGATGCTTCGCTTTAACTTGTGAGGCATACGGAACTTCATTTTGGGGTCCCATTTGTGCAGCTTCTTGTGCTGGTGTTCTGGTTTGTCCCAGTACTCTAAGAGGGAGTTGCGCATTACGCGTCGAAGTAAGACGTTAGTATCTTGTCGACAAAATGCAACGGACACTTCCGGGGCGTTATTTGCAGCTCTTTTTGCTTCAGTGTCCGACTCTTCATTGCCCTTTATGCCACAGTGAGTAGGTATCCACTGGAATGTTTATATGAAGCTCATTGTTTGTAGCAATGCCAACGAGCATAATATCGATAAAGTCGATAAAATCAATAATGTATGATATGGACCTCGTCTCATGAAGCCACCGACGGATTGGAGAGCAGCTTTGGCATCACACAGTATCGTCCATCTATGAGCGGGCTCTGCGGATATGAAACGTATTGCCTCCCTAATAGCAACAAGTTCCTCGGCAATTGATGTGGTCTTGTGATTTATCTTGAAACGTCGAGATTTCTTAATTCTATCTCTCGTGCAGGTCAGTTACCCTTAATGACCAGTGGTTATCTTGCCTACGCGCTACGTGCCCAGCCCATGTCCATTTTCTCCCATTGATTTCGACCATCATATCCTTAACGCTGGTTTGTTCCCTGACCCACTCTGCTCTCTTCCTGTCTCTTAAGGTTAGACCTATTGTTTTCTTTTCCGTGTGTGAGGGGGAGACATAAAGTTAAGTGGGCAGATGAGATTAGGGAGTTTGCGGGTATAAAGTGGCACAGCAAGCACAGGACCGAGTTGGCTGGCACAACACGGGAGAGGCCTTTGCCAGGGTTGCCACTGACTTTTGTGAGGCATCCGCCAAACGACGACCCAAATGTCGCCAAAGGTCATCATTTTTCTTCAAATTTCGCCAATAAAGTCGCCACGCTTCATATATTTGGCGTCACCAGTAATAAAAATTCCTTATTATACATAGACGCGCGGAGTACGGTAACATGCATAAACCCTAAATCATATAAATGTTTTTCAAAGCTAGTCATATCACCTGCTTCTCGACGGGTGCACAGACAAAGAGATTGCATGTTCTGGCATAGCTCCTATATGCTAGCGCCTCATAACAAAAGGTTGTCATGGTTTCATTTGAAGCGAATACAGGATGAAACAGTCTCTACAAAAAAAAAGGATATGTGGGAACACTTCCAGATTATTTATAGAATTCTATTTAGGTGAAATCATGTACTTCATAACCAAACAACTTAATGAAAGAAGAACGGAAATAAGTTCGAAGGTACTGCGTAACCATCGCAATGCCCGCACCACACTTTTTGGGTGGTCCTCTATGCGCTATAGATTCGCTCCACAGCAGTTTCTGAGGGCCGCCCGAAGAAGGCCGACTTCTTGGCACACCCGAAAAGTCTGATAATAACAAAGTTAAGGTTAAAATTAGGGGATACTACAGCAGTGAAAAAGTCACGGCAGTTGGAGCTGTGGTCGGTACATGAGGCACCTATAGTCACTTCAGGAGCGAAGCTTCGAAGAATCCTTAAAGCCCCTAAAGAAAACGTAGTATAACACCACCGCCTCGTGGCACGCGAAGAAGTCCACTGACCTAAATTTTGCTGGGAGGTTGTTGGCGGACACACCAGTGCATGCTTCCAGGATGTAGGTGAATTAGGAGATACATACGAGAAACAGGACATACGTATTAAACTGCGCACAAATTGTGCCTTATAGGGGGGGGGGAGGGGGTCGAAAAGTACGAAAATGGAAAAAAAATGTCGTGCTTATTCTTTTGTAGACACTGAATATAAAATGCGCAACTCGGTGGACAACTATGCCTAATAAAGTCGCCTGAAATTCGCCACGTCGCCATTCATCGTGCGCAAACACGTGGTTCGAGAACAGTCACCTGTACGTACACTATGAATCGTGTCCTTGTAGGCATATCTTAGTAAAATTTACATACTCGAAAAAAAAAGGTAAGTACGCAACGGCACGAGAAATATTGAAGACTCATTTTATACATTCGAAGTGTGATATCCGTGTCAGTGGTACTTCAGTGATCATGCGCGAAGCGGAAATGCTATTTTTTTACGCCATTATAGCCCCAACATGTGCTATTTCCTGACTATTCAGCGAAAATGTGCCTGCCTATCTGACTTTCTTGTACAGCTGTGAATCTGTCGCAAGCCATCATCTTTGTTGTCCTTGATTCTTCCGCGTTTTGTTGCATTGTATTAATCTTGCACATTGTTAGCCATATGTTAGTTGATATATGCCATATGTTGAATTTGATATATATGTTGAATTTGGACTACTTTATATCTTTAGCTATCAAAAAGCAATCAGACGTCTACAAGGCCGTAATGGACTCATAATAAAAGGAATAAACATATGGAATTGAGACGGAAACCATGCTCAGCACCAGAACGCGTTGTGGTGTTTTTTACGTATAATCATAGCATTTAATTCATGGAATTTATCAAATGTTAATGTTGCTGTCAACATGTGGACACCACACAATGCCATTAAGGAACCACTTTGTGTCTCTCGTTGTAGTGATGTGGTGCGACCAAGCGACTTGAAGACAGTTTACATGTAGGAGTATTCGAAATATTAAGAAATTTGTAACTGCAGCGGGTCCCTACCAGCTAGTCTCTCAGGACTCATTAATGTTCTTTGTCTGTCTGTAGCGCCAAAAAGAGTGACCATATAGAATAAGCATTTTGTTTCCAGCCTTTCGAATGAGAGCCAGAAAATAAGGACAGTAATCCATTTTTTGTATAAATGCAAGGTCTTTTATTTTCATTCGTTCGTTTCGCGGCACAGAAAAAAATAATAAAGTCGGCGACTGGCATGTTAGTAAAAAAAATAATTTTGTCCCATGAGTACATCGTTGACAGCACACCATACTTATTGTACAGGCACGCGGTCGGGTGATGCTGTGTCGCATATTATACAAAAATATACGTGCGCACACAAGTGGCATGCATAGAGTTGCATTTCTGAGGCTTTGGGCCGACCACGAAACCAGCTGAGTGCATATAAGTACACAGTTGCGTGCAGCGTTGATTGTTCCTCGCATCTGATAACACGTCGACAGGGTATTGTGCACAAGGTATAACACAGACAACAACGCAATACGCTTACCGCGCCAGTGACAGTGATGCTCATAGCTCGTTAAAAAAGTGAAGGCATACTTGTCGTACAAAAAAAATAATAGTGCATTTTCACATGAGCAGACGCGTGAATAGATGAACGAATGAAATAATGTGATTGCACAAGTTCAGGGCATCTGCAGCGGAGCAAAACAACACACTGTCGCACGCGGTGGGTTAGTGGTCTATGCAGGAGACAAGACATAACGGTTGATCCCCAACCTGAGAGTTTTGTACAATGTGGCACTTATCATCTGCGGTCAAGAGTAAATAGTGTCAGACGCGTCGAAACTGTACAAAAATATATATATATTTATTTATACGGAAAACACGCTCCATGAATCTGGGGGTTAACAAGACATTCGATACCAGTCGCGACTTCCTATACAATGGATAGAGTGAACACTGAGAACACGATACATAATTAAGTCGGTGGGCTATTCGAGACATACGTCTCATTAAACGTGTTTGTGTGCGTTGGCCGCGACCATGCAGAAAAAAAAAATTCCGAGACTAACCTCGAAACATACGTGCAGTCGCGAGTTTCCGTTTATGATTGGTCGACGTGATAAATAGATAAATATGATATGCGATGAAAGTAAAACAAAACAGAAGGTGCCTTCGTCTGGGTTTCGAGCAGCACGGTGCATTAAAATATGCGACGATGAGACGACGTTCACGACAGGATGCGTGGTGACTCTTAGGTGGTTAGTTGGCATGATTAGGCAGAGAGGAAAGCTAAGGTATACACGTATACATAATTTGTGTCACGTGGTCAGCTGTGGGAAAACGACGCCGTAGGAATGAGAAGTCAAGAAAATAAAAATGAAAAGAAGCATGCAGCATTGCTTTTGAGCTGTGCTGCCTGATGCATTTCATAGCGGTGCCGCTTAAGCTTGACACATCGACAGCTTCACGCTGAGAAACACTACAGTTTCTTATAATGGAGAAGCCGAAGGAGGTAATATAGGGGAACGAGATAGCGCGAATGCGCTTTTTTTTTTTTCGACGCAGGAAGGTGTTTGTGTAAACATGGGCACATTGCGAACAAGGAACAGAGCGACGTCAGCGCTCGTGTATAGAGATCAAGGCTCCTCAAAAGTTTACACAACAAGGTAGGGAGGGGGGTGAAATAAATAGTTGGGACAAACACCGAGAAAATGGACACAAACATCGACGAGGAAACGAAATCAGTCTACTTCGAGGAAAAACAAAAGTCGAACACGTTGGGCATGTATACGACTGTGCTTCATGTCGGCAAAGCTTGTGACGAACCATACGCTTCTTTCACGGCCTATTCCTCTCGTTGTTATCTTCGTGAGCACAACACCGACAACACCGATTGATGATCGAGATGCTCCTAGTTTGCAGGAAAGCTGCGCCTTGTGCAAAGACACTGCACATTTTTTTCTTGGAGTAAAGAGCAAGGTGTGACGTCCGTACAACCTTCCCACGTCAATATCGTAGGAACATACAACATACCAGAGGAAGTCTCCGCCTGATCACGTATTAAAATGTGCTGAGAAAACTTTCTTTCGCGCCTCAGAGATGCCTCTGGGGTTCGATTACTTCTGAAGTTCTGCTAGGAAATTTAGCAATTCAAGATAACGCACTCCTAGTGAAGAGCGAACGCTGTCCTCTTCAACAAGTTAGCCGGCTTTCATTATCGAGGAGTTCGTTTTGTAGCACTTCTTTTGGCATGCTTCCTCGCAGTCATTAACGTCGTACGATCTGAAGACGTGGTTACGCATATTTGTACGCTACTGCTGCTGCTGGAGATAGCGACACGCCGAAAGGCACTAACTGGACTGATATCCACCCTGACGCACGGAGGTGTTTCGAAACAACAAAATGAATAAATAATTGGCGGATTGGCTCAGTACGTCTATCCAAGGCTTTGTGTTCAGATCGTCACCTGACGTACTGTAAATAGGACGGATAGACTACGAACTACGTTACCAGATAACGTGTTCTTCATACAAAGATCAATATCGCCTTCTAGGAAGTGGCAACATTAAGAAAACGTTGCTTAAACGCAGCACAGCACACTCATTTTAAGGTACCTTCTGCTTGGAAGTTTACGGGTTTAACCGGGCCGTTGTGAGCCAGTGTGTGACCCGTACTTAAAACCTTAGTGGGACGAGGGGATATGGAACGTCGACGTGTGACGTCATTCGAAGGCTGCGAGTTGTCCTCTCAAAAACAACGCGCATGAGATCGTTACAAGTGAGTCGTTAGTGGGTATAACTAAAGGTACTGGTAAAAGAGAGAAAAAAAAAGATAAAGGAACAAGACAATGTGCATATGTGGTTACAAAATCGTAAATTGGGACTGTGCTGTGTACGTTCGTGGCACCAGTCACACATCGCATCTCGGTTCACAAGACATCACAAACAGACTCCAACGGACTAGTGCTTCCACCTGTTAATGTATACACATTCACTGAAACAGTACATGAACGCGCATGGCGGCGATACTGTACAAGTTAGGCACGCCGATTCGCTGCAACAAGCTCGGATAGAGGGTGCGCTATAGCATCGCATACCACGGACGTTACCAAGTGACGTTGTACAAGATTGCAGAAGTTTCGTTCGTTGCAAGAAACCTATAGTCCTATTACAAGATATGTAGAAGTAATTAGTTTCGAAGTCATTGCTAAAAAACTGCTTTAGGGTGGTTACTCGCGATCCAAGCGTCAAACAGGCGTAAGGTCAGTAGCGTAAGTACAAGGAGACGTTTTCCTGCCCTATACTTCAAGATCGGCTTGGTAACATGTCTTTATGCAATACCGTCTGGAGCATTCAATTGTCATTCAATGAGGCACGAGTTCTGCAGTGAACAGCAACGTAATGCAAGTCGGTGAAGTTCAAAGTTTGGTCAGACTATCCCGCGGAGGACATTACAAGGAAGACTATATTTCAAGGCATCGATTCGATCATTCGTTCATCTCGACGACAAGTACATTGCGCTTAACGAAAGCTTTTAGTTTCGGCAGCTTTTGTTTCCTTTTTTGCTTTACTTTTTATTGCTGTAATATTTTACCAGTGGAGACATATGGGAAGACCTCCACGTGAGCCGTGAAAGGACGCAGGCTCTCTGCACGTGCAACTGAGCTTTTCAACGAGCACTGGAAATTGCCATGGTTACGATAGAGCAAGTTTATGGATATGAATACAAAACAATAGCACTGCTTGTAGAAAACAAAACCCGTCCTTCTTAAGTAGTGTGCCCGAGACCAGGGCCCCGTAATTGCCAACAAATATCGTACATCTGGCTTACAGATATTCAGGAGCATAAAGTCAGCAAAATGCTAAGAAAAGGTCTCGTTGTGACGCTTGGATCAGGTTGCTTTGCTGTCAAGATACATGGAGTCGCGTTAAGCTTGACTTCCGACCAGCGGAAGTGACGCCAATGTCACGCCTTGCGTGGGGCAGCGTATTTGTGTGTTTGTGTGCGTGGTTTTTCGGGCGTGGTCCCAGCTGGGCTTGCCGTGGTCTGGGCTGCCCTCGTCTTTGGCGGTAGTGCTGGCTTGCTCGGGGCCCAGTGGAGGCGGCGAAGGAGCGAGCTTGGCTCTTGACGTCGACGCGATCAGCACGCCGGTTGCCTTCCAGGACGCCGCGTAGATGGGTGCTAGATCCCCGGCATTCGGTCCGATGGCGTCGTCGTGGTAGACGTCTCCGTGTCACGGACAAATCGGATCGCTTGTGACACGCTTGTTTTCTCTGTCGTGGGTGAGCTACGGACTGAAGACCTCTACCGAGGGGTCATCCGCAGAGAGATTGGCTCCTCGGGTGTGGTGATAAGCCGCATCTTGATCTGGACGTCTTTGTCCGTACTTGGAGTCAACTGGAACTTTTGCACCGTCTGCAAGAGAGAGGAGCAGAGAGGTCGCGTTGTAGAGAAACTCGAATGAAAGTGTACAGGCACGCACATGTTTGTTCAGCTAACCAAACGCAGTGTTTCCGTGGTTAGTAGTAATTTACGTTATGCGAAGCACACGTCGTAATGTTGCTTATGAAGGAACATGCACTCTAACATGTCAGTTCGCTGTACTGTTTAACGTATCCCTGATATCAAAGTTGAAATCAAGAAGAGGAAATGGACATGGGCCGGGCATGTAGTGCGTAGACAGGATAACCACTGGCCATTAAGGGTAACTAACTGTATTCGCAGAGAAGGCAAGCGGGTTAGGGGGAGACAGAAGGTTAGGTGGGCAGATGGGATTAAGAGGTTTCCGAATATACATTGGCAGCAGCATGCACAGGACCGAGTTGACTGGCGGAACATGGGAGGGGCCTTTGTCCTGCAGTGGACGTAGTCAGGCTGATGATGATGATGATAATAATATACAGCAACTGACACATAATGTCCTCGCGATGTGACTTGTCTATGCACCATTAAATGAGGAAAGGAGGCTGCGGCGATTCTATCCCCGTACTCAGAAACGCTGCTTGACTTGAACTTGACTTGCCACCAACTTCAACGCAGCACAAACGCGTTTCGAACGCGCTCTCTGTAGGCGGTGCCAAGGCAGTACAAACGCACAGACATGTTTCGAACACGCTGCATTGAAGGCGATTTTAAGTCAAGTTCAAGTGACGGAGCGTTTCTGAATACGGGGGTACGTGTCTGGCAGATTCGAAGCTCTATTTAATGACCACAACTGCTGTAACAAAAAAGTAATAAAGAAAAAACACCATGTAAAGGTAAATTAAAGAAAGAAAACCTACGCCAAAGTCTCCCTACTGTTCTAACTTGTTAAGCATCCACATCATTCATTAAAGAGTCTAGTTGATTTGTCGTGGCATATTGACCCAGGATTGCACAGAGGGCTACATTTTCAATTCCCCTAGGCTGAAACTACCACCCGTGTCAGTCCTGGACAGTCATGCAGGCACGTCCAACAGAAGACTTTCACGACTCGCGCTCCGGAAGCATACAGCGTGCGTCTCGGAGGCCATGGTTCACGAGGCAGTACAAACGTACGGTACTCACCCTTGCTATGAGGAACTGCATCTGGACCTCGGCTACCCGTCGTCCGATGCAGGAGCGGGCGCCAAGGCCGAAGGGAAGGCAGGCCCACGAGTTGACCTGGCCCGTGCGGTCACCATCTCGTAGCCATCGCTCGGGCTTGAACATGTGTGGATCAGAAAAGTGCTGTTCGTCCCGTCCAGTAGTGTACAGGGACATGAGGATGAGCTTCTGCGAAGAAAAAAAAAATACGGCATCCACTATGAGCGAAATAATATCTGTAAGATCACAGTGCCAGCAGCAACGTTGGATCGAGGGTAACCATAAGTAGGCTAGCTGGAAAGATGACACTGCAAAATTATAATGCAGTATTAAATTTGACAGGAACACGACCACTTGCGAGCTCATTTTGTGGTCGATTAATGTTGTTGATTTTTGAAACTGTGGCACACAACCATGCGGGGAACCGGCTAGGAATCTGACACCAATGTACCTGCTCGATGTTCTTTTTACTCTCTAGGACGGTGGTATGATCACCGCTTATTACATCGCACAAATGCACGCAGTCCAGCCACTGATGTACCAGTCAGTCGAATAATCGTATCGGTGCTTCATTGATAACTGGCTGCAGCGTGCTGAAGAAGTTTGTACAGATAGCACTCTTGCTTAAAGATTACATAATTCGCTTCTCCTTTGCAGTTTCCTTATTCGTATACCTTCGTCGAGCAATACAATGATTGAAAAGAGAGAGGACTGCCCCCAAGTTTATTCAAGTAGTTTGTCGCATACAATTCGTTGCCGTCGAATTTTCTCTCGTAACTTCTGACGAGACATCGCACTACCATATATAGTTGTGAGCCTAACATGACTGTAGAAATTCCGTTCCACGTTTTCGCAAATGCTGCCCGCTAATCCATATTCACACGAAGCAAAACGAACGAGTTGCCCAATCAGTCCTCGGACTAAGGCTGACATGGCTGCACTGTCGCACCCTTCTTTGCTACGCTACGTGGTGACGCTGAGCCACGTCGCGCCGCCATCCACCCCTTCGTGTGAATGCTATACTCGCGAGGCTGGCCCCGAATAAATTCCAGAGCGAAGAATGTCGCGATGCAGTGCTGCAATGCAATTTGAAACGTCGTCATCTCCACCCACCTCCCACAACGACAGAGTCCTTCCATTTCACGCTGGAATCTTCAAGGGCGTCATGCGAGCTGAAGCAATATCAAGCATCTAAGCAACGCGGGCGAGAACTTGGCCCCCAGAGAGGCGCCATTTTTTTCTTCTTCTTCCCTCAGCTGCGAACACGATACTGCGAAGCGGTGTCTGGCGCGGTCCGCTTAGATTGTACAAAAAAAGTCGGCGTCGCGATATGAAGCCGAGATACACGGGTGCGCAACTCTTGAGGTGGGATAGGAGGAAGTTGGGGCGATGTGCGAGAAAAAAAAAAGAAACATATGAAAGATGGTGAGGCAGAAGGAAACATTACCGCGGCGTCTAAGTATTCAGAAAGCTGATACACAAGAAAACTAAACAATGATAAAGTAGGAAAAACTTGACGAATGGTTCAAGGGTAGAGATCTTTCCAGACACCTACCCCAGCGGGAATGTGGTATCCGTCGAGGACAATGTCTTCGGATAGGATTCTTGTCAAAAAGGGTGCTACCGGGTACAATCTGAAAATAGACATCCGGTAAAGAAACTCAATCATATGGCAAGAGAGCCGCAATGAAAACATACTCAGAATGGGCGCAAATTTCATAAATGTACAGATTAATGACAGGGATTAGTGCCACAATCATTGCAAAGATACACGTCATGCACTTCGACGCTGCCGCGACTTCACCCAGCAGCTTACGCCATCAGCTTTTATGCCAACGAACCATCTTGAACTGGTACGACGAAAGCGGCTATAGCAACCAGCAATTTGAAAAGTAATTTGAAACATGTATACATCTGGTCCGAGTGTTGAGCTCTGTGCGTTTCTGAGAGTTGTTCGCTGCGTCCACACGGTTTTTAAACGCTGTACTTCAGGTAATACAGCGATAACGAGTGATAACTCTCATGAATTGGAGCTTACCGTAGGGCTTCCCGGATGACGGCCTTGACGTAGGGTAGCCGCGCCAGACTCTCCTCGTTTATAGGTTGACCCTCCGGTAGAACGCTATGTACGGAGTGGAGTAGCCGTTCCTGCTGCTCGGGATGTTTGGCGAGAAGGTACAGCGCCCACTGTGTGGCATGTGAAGTCTGCGGGAGAAAATAAAGGGATGGATTTGAGTGACTTGTTACCACCGTGTCTACTTTTTATTGTCATGCGTCCGTCCGCACACGACGCTAAGGATCTTCGTACGTTCAGAAAAAAACTGCTACACCCATCAACTAATCGCCAAGGCAGCTTCAGCTCAGTATTTAGCTCTTTAAAAACTGCATCCTTCGTAGGAAATTGGAAAACAGGTCATTAGTGTGTGCGTCGTAATGCTTACCGTGTCAGCTGCAGCCAGAAACAGGTCTGTGACGATGCGAACGAGCTCTTCTTCGGTTATTTTTTCGTTCAGCAGCAGTTGACTTAGAATGCCTTGGTTGTGCTGGGCAGCTGACGATGGATCTTTGGCGATTGCGTTCAAGTTCTCCTCCACGTAGTCTCTTGCTGCAAGGTTAAAAAAAGTAGCAGTATACAGGCTATGTGTCACAAGGAGCACACCCGAAAGTTCATATAAAATGAAACACTCTTGCGGACGAAGTCCGGAAAGACCATCGTAGTCAAATGGTCACTTTAGCTGTGCAGTCAACTTTCCCGTCTAGACTCGTCAGAAACGTTTTGGCAGCAGAACAAATTTTGTGTTACTTTCAATAAGTGGCTGGGAAACGAGCTTGAATATAGTATGACATTCTTTGGTATCTTTCCAGTGGATACGCTGTAGAGTGTTGCAGTAGTCTCCGTAGACACTGCCATATTGCAAATACGTTTCGTAAAGACTGCCACCTAAATCTACAGCCTCGGGACAACGCATTAGCAGACGTGACTTCGATCCCTTGCTATACATAGTTCTTCAACTGTACATATTAACCATGAGTGCCTGCACGGCAATTCGCTGCGTTTGCTGACTTCGTAGTCACAAAATAATGGAAGCCCTGGTGTGGCGCACACTTACCAAGCTCGAGAGCTCGTCCCGCTGCCCGGACAAAGCGCCGCCAGACGGGCAACCGAAGACGGTAGGCGAGGCGTGGTGAAAACATGGCCATCTTGGCCGACTCGTTGAATATTTGTTGCACGCAGTGAACAAACTCGTGCACGTTCTCCATGCTTGAGGATTGCGCAATGCACCCCAGCCGCCGACCAAATATCATGGCACCCAGCGCTGCAGAAATAGTAAGAGCAAGATGAGACGTGGTAGAAGGTTGCACCAAAGTTATACACGGTCAATGTAAGTGTTCTCTGGTTATACGGTCACCTGGACAGTCCCAGGTGGTAAGCATTCACTGACTGTTTCTGCGGCACAAGATCGGATGCGATACAACACCTGAATTATGTGTCAAAAGCATGGGCCTCCTCTGGACATGTGGACGTTACAATGAATGAAGTCAGATCAAAATGATAGACTCATTAAGGTATAGGCCTTTTCAATGCAATCATAGAGGAAATAAAGTTACTGCATGGCGATATTACGCTTCGTTTTCCCGCTACATCTGACATACTTGTCAGTTCATTTATCTCTTCAAGATGCATATATGTTGTCCTTTTATTAAATCCTCCGTTTGAGACGCGCCCCTGTTTCTAGAGACCACAACTGCAGGTACTTTAACCCTCTTGCGCTACTCGCAATTCAAGTAGAATACTGAAAATCAACGTACATTCTATGGACCAGTTGTACAGCTCGCGCTCAACGTTCTCCAAGATGCCGTTGTCGTTGCGGGATTCCTGCCACCGGTCCAGAAGGTCCGTGATGACATCGTTGAAGACGGGCACGTTGTCCGTGACAGTCTTGGTTTTGAGGAACACGTTGTTGAGGCTTCTGCGTCTGTCGATCCACTCCGGGCCGTCCCTGTGGCAAAGTGAACAAAAGTGGGAGATTGAGTGGGGAACTTTTTCGATTAAAAAAAGTTCTGCAGAATACGTCGTGCTTTTCAAAGTTACCAAAATATTACGCGTTTCACCAGCGAACAATTGGACACAGTATAAATTTTCAATATGGCGGCACAGTGCGATGGCATAACTTCAATAGCGTCACCTGGGTCGTTTTATGAACTCGCGCGCAATAAATTCGCCAGACGCAACATTCCCATCTCAAAGAGTAGCCACACATTGATACAAGCCGCTTCCAGAGCTGAAAGCCCAGAACAACGCGTCGGATGCGCTCGTCTCTTACACAAGCGTGAGCAGTCAGCAGCATCGCATAGAAGTACACAAAATAAGATGGTACCAGTGAGAGAGTATACGATCCTGATGGGACTGTTGCCGTTCCCTCTTGTTGGAACAGAGTTTGTTCTCACGAGCAGTCTTGGCCTCCACATCCACGCCTCTTGGCTTTTTTTTTTTAATCTGGCAATTATAGGTGTGCATCAGAGTTGTCGCTACGCGAGACGAGTGACGAATGGCAGGTACGCTAAGTACAACATGAGAGACGGGGGAAGTAAGGACGAAACGCCAATAAGAGAAGTGACACCGAAAACTGAGAAAAGAATCACCGTAAGGAGAAACGGTGCCTGATAAGTCAAGGAGGTAAACAATCTCGCCGCAGCTGCCGAGTCAAACGCGTCATAGATCAAGCTCACTGAGAGTAGGCGCAAAGAAATAATCGGAACGGCAGGGAGGTTAGCCAGCCTTTGGACCGGCTGGCTACCCTGTGCTGGGGAAGGGGGTAAGGGGAACAAAAGATGATATAAAAGAAATAATACAAAGAGAGAGAGAGAAAAAAAGAGACAAAATTTGCGAAAGAGGAAAAGCAAAATAAACAGAATACGGCACTAAATCTGAAGCTTTCTCAGCCTTCTGGGCTGATGATGCACTTGGCCAATAACCGAGAATACTTTGTTCCAACAAAGGCCGATCATCTAGTCTATCTAGAGCTTCGGTAAGTTCTTGTCTTATGGCAATGAAATAGGTACCCTTGCACAGAACATGGGCGATTGTTTCTTGGCAGCTGCAGTAATTGCACGTAGAGGTACTGGCCATTCCGACAAGAAAGGAGTATGCGTTCGTGAAGGCCACGCCAAGCCATACGCGAAGAGTCTGCTCAGCTCAAAATATTCCTGACGGAAGACCAAGATTGAGAACGGGATCCAATTTACGCAGGCGAGCGTTTATGAATTCCGTCGAGTTCCACTGCACCAGTGTGAGGTCACGTGCAAGCGAACGAAGTCTTGTAGCTGCGTCGGTTCTTTAGAACTGGATGGTTGTGTTTGCGTACCGTCATGTGCAGATCAAGCGGCCTCATCTCCACTGTCGTTGCCATATATACCACAATGACCTGGTATCCACCGATACGCTATGCTGTGTTGTCTCTCGATTGCTTGGCGGTAAATAAGCCTTATGTCGGCTACTAACTGTTGATTAGGTCCATGGCAAAAGGGCGACATAAGACATTGAAAAGCTGCCTTCGAGTTCGAGAAGATGGACCTAGCTTCCGAAGGTTCTTCAACTATAAACTACAGAGCTGCTCGTATGCCGGTGAGTTCTGCAGCTGTCGACGACGTCAAATGTGATGTCCTGACTTTAATCGTGATGTAGTTCGCACGAGTAACCACCGCCCCTGTGGAGCTTACTAAAGAAACGGAGTCATCCGTGTAAATGTGAAGGCGTCCGTTGTGCTTCCCGTGCAGGAAGAGTAGTGTGGCCTGTTTCAGGGCTTGAAGCGACGACTGTTTCTTCTTTTGGATGCACCGAGAGAGACCGAAGAGCAGCACTGAGGCGAACGATAAGACGTAAAAGAAGAAGGATAACGATGTGCAACGACGCAGGGAGACGTCAGCTCGAAGCTGTGCGCGAAACGATCCTCTATCTGTCGCACGCGTGCGCTCAGAGAGCGCCGAGGCAGGGAAGGTGGGATTGCGCTGTTTTTGTCGGGGCAGCGGCAGTGCACGAGGCCTGTTCTGCCGCGGGAGAGGGTGATAAATGTCGGTTTTGCGGACGACAGCGCGCCCTCCTCCTTTGGGAATGAGCGAGTCGCGCGCGTTTCCCGTCAGCGAGAAGAGGCGAGGGGGGAGGGACACCAGTGTGGGGTTCCCATCAGGGTTGTCGGTCGGCGTGCACCTGTTGCGGAGGCCTAACCTTGGCCTTGAAACCACTTTCAGCGCCATGGGGGGGACCGGGCGGATCGTTCCTGTCTGGCCCGGCCGGCCTGCGATGCATGGGCTACATAGCTCAGCGTTTCTCGTAGCACTGTTGCTGGCAGCTGGTGCCCCTCAAGCGTGTCGGCCGTGGTAACGGTTCAGAGGTGCGCTTCTCCACACGCTCCACCATCACGCCCGCACGAAGCTGTCTTGTCTGTGGACATCGGAATGCTTCCGATAGTGCGAGCTTTGTACTGTTATGATGTCCTCTTTTTTCTTCCTTAATGACGTAGCAAGTTAGTTGCATGCGCTGTTGCCTGCAAACAACCCGAGCGTTTCTCAAGCGGGGTTTTTCGAAGGGGACGTTCGAAAACTCAATACGCTTGTCTTCCTTGAATCTGCATATTTTCCTTTCTTTGAGCAACTATTCTTTCCCCGTCCATTGATCAGTTCTGTGCATCGGAGCGAGACACCTCGATAGACTTGAGCCACTGTAGCCACGTTAACGTAGTTCCGGCACGATGTTGCAGATCGCCGAACAAAAACGCTCATCAACATTACAATGTAGCGTCATTAATAAATATCGCCCTGATTAAAGTACGATTATCAACCAGCTAGCCAGTAGAAATCACCTTGCAATGAAAACGGGCACTAGTATGCACAAGCACCTCGTACAATTCTCCATAACATGCTGTGTGGCTGGCCATCCGATTTATTGCCTTGAGACCACGGCTCTGGTTCAGCATGCTAAACTACGATCAGAAAACTTATGTGATTAATAATATTACCAGTGTCTCCCTCATTTAAGAGTGCTCACATTCCCGGAGCACTCGTGAATGGAACATCCGACGATAGTTGTAGCGCGAGAACATAACGGCGATTAAGAGACAAGAAGCAGACGACGACGCCTCTTTGTCATCGTTCTGGTCTAGCGCTCTAACTATCGTCATGCCATACCAACTAGCCTAAGTAGCCACACTTCTACGGAGCATCCGACTTCTGAGATTCCGTGCAACACGCGTTGCCAGTGGCGCTATTGGCTAGAATGTAGTACGAGACGCTTCGGAAGGAATAAAACTGTCGGGTATGTCAACACGAGAAGATGGGCTTAAAGATCACGCCAGCAGTTTAAAAAGCTATTCCCGATGCTTTCACAATTTGCACGTATATACACCAGCAAACACAAAATACCGCAGTAGCAAGCCTAATGGGGGCTCGGAGTACCTCCACAATATTTCTGTCTACATCGCAAGCATATATGATTAGGTTACGTACCCGTTGTTCAGCAGCTGATGGTATAATTGTCTCCTAGCGCTAAGCACTAGATGGAATTCGTAAATTTGTAGGCCAGCGCCCACGTTTATCCATGGTCTAGTGGCTAAGGTGCTTAACGGCTGAAGGTCGCGCGGTCGAATCCTGCCACCGGTGGCCGTATTTCGGTGGGGCCAAACTGCTGCAGGCCCACGTACTTAGATTTCGGTGAACATTAGAGAACGCCAGCTGGTCAAAAAATTTCCAGGACCCTCCACGTCGTCCCTCACACTCATATCGTGATTTTGGTATGTAAAACCAAACACTTGTCATTATTACCGTGTGCTCAGATTTGGGTGCACGTTAAAGAACACCAGGTGGTCGAAATTTCCGGAGCTCTCCACTACGGCGTCTCTCGTAATCATACGGTGGTTTTGGGACGTTGAACCCCACATATCACCACTTATTATTGTCTAGTGGCTAAGGTACTCGGCTGCTGACCCGCAGGTCGCGGGTTCACATCCCGGCTGCGGCGGCTGCATTTTCGATGGAGGTGGAAATGTTGTAGGCCCGTGTGCTCGGATTTGGGTGCACGTTAAAGAACACCAGGTGGTCGAAATTTCCGGAGTCCTTCACTACGGCGTCTCTCATAATCATATGGTGGTTTTGGGACGTTAACCCCCACATATCAATCAATCAATCAATCAATCACCACTTATCATTATTTAACGCTGACTTTTATGGAAACTAGCGAATCATTCCGCTGAATTTCTTTGCCGCAGTGATGAGCATTCATGGCTGAAAGAAGTGCCTGCTAAATGTGTATGCGTGTTGAAACCACGAGAGACAGCAACATTACGAGCTGAACGGACGATGTGCCATCGTGTTAGGAGAGGTCTTCTTCGCCACTTTCCTTCGTCGCACATGCACGACGAAGGCGGGGGTACTCCCAGGATCGCGTCGACGCGGTTGTGATGCACGCGCTATGTGTTCACACTAAGTACGCACGTCAGCGCGACCTTTTTCCTCAGCGTCGTGCTGCTTACGCGCGTATACAGCTGCGGAGACGACAATGATGAGGCTCATTTGAGAATTTATTTTCCTTTTTGTCGTTTCACTTAAGCGTGAAGAGAAATGGCATCAGCTTACACCTATAGGAATGTCAGATGCGAATCCGTAACAATTTTTCCAATTAACTCAAGTTATTCAGAACGGAAGAGATTGCTGTTTTTTTTTTCTTCTTTTATTCGAGAAACGCCGAGTACGTTTCTCAATAGCAACCACATTCTAGTTTCTCATTGCTGACGACCGTAATGTATACAGAAGAGGGAGGCGGGGGGGAGTATTGACGCACAAGTGAAAGAGAGTGTGTTTCTTTGACGTTTGAGTCGTGTACCTTGCCTCCTGTTTAAGAAGATTTCGCCGCGTGAAATTCCAGCGATTTCGTTAGACCTTTCGTGCCCTAGTGCCATTCTGCCGCGAGCGCTACGATCTTGTACAATGCAGTCCGTACTAGATCGCT